CCTACCCATGATCTACCATCATTTCTCGTGGACCTCGAGTCTAGAGATCTCTGTGTCAGTATATGGGCCTCTGTGTGAGTGTATGGGCCTCAATCTGAGTGTACGGGCCTCTATGCGAGTCAAGAGATCTCTGCGTCAGCACAAGGGCTGCTACAAGAGACTTTGGGTCTCCGGGTTTATGCAGATGACTTGAGATTGGGCTAAAAACATCCATAACCTGGGTTAATCACGGCGGGCAGCTGAAACCTGGATCATCCCCAAAGTCTCAGCGGTGACGACTCAGCGTCTCTGCTCCTCGAGCCACGCGGCCACTCCACGGCGCCGCTGATGCCAACGGATTTCAAAACCTGGCACGTAAGCGCATCTCACGCCACGCCGGCTCCAGTCAGCCATCCACTTGGCCCCATGCAGTTCAAACCGCATGGCTGTGCCCTCAAAAATCAAGTTTCATGGGAGCGTTGCGCGCGGTTCGTAGTTCGTGCGCTGCAAGCCACCAGTGGGTGTCTCATTCGTGATGATGATTTGCGTCGTCAGAATTTAAATTGCCACAACAGGGGGGGCTCTGTGGTGTCACAATCCACAGCAGACATTATTATCATAAATATAATTAAATTTACATTCTACGTCAAGACGAGTCAGCGCCATTCACAGCAGCTGTGCATATACACCAAGTTATACTGCAGTGCGCAAACAGCCAGATATTAGAATAATAACACGAATGTGCTGTCGACTCCCTGACACTGTTGAAGTCCACGCTCTTTTGTCTATGAATTCAGATGCTGAGACCCTGGATAGTCCTTGGATGGGCGGCCACCATGAGATAACAGGTGCTATAGGCTGCCGGCCCACCACGTGGCGATGAGCAGACAAGTCAGCGCAGCAACATCCATAGCTGCACTGCACCTCTACGCTCCCACGTTCATGTGATCTGCCTTTCGCAGCCTCCACCAGTCGGCGATGACCGGGTTCAAATACCAAGAGGGGAAACTGGTTTCGGTGGATCTGTTTAGGCTGATGCAATGGCACGAAGCAAGATAAACACATAAGTGCTTGCCACAAATTAACCACAACACCTTTCTGATCTCGTCAAGGAGCAGAAACCATCAAGCGAACTCCGGTCATCCTCACAGTGATGGCTTTTGGCTCTCAGCCTTCGAACAAAGACGGTGACTGCATTGCATGCTTTCGGCCGTCTGGAACGCTCTTCCTTACAATATTAGGAAACTACTGGGAGCTATGCACTTTTAAATTATCTAGATTTAAAACTAATTTCTTTAGAACTGCTTTTTGCGTTAAGTTTGTTGTCCTTCCCCTGCACCTCCAATTAGCACGGTTGGCTATGTTCGGTGTGAAAGAAGTTCAACACAAATTGTCTCTCCAAACAGGCACAACAAAACAACAACAAATTCACCCCCAGGAAGAGAAGGCGGTTGTTGTTGTTATTGTTGTTGTTACGAAACGTCTCGGTTCAAATCGATGGGGAAATCAACCAGTTGGTTTTAACTAACCAACAAGCAATGGCTTGGAGGTAGCCCGTCGCTCAAGAGGGCTGACACCGTGCCAGAAACCGATAACCTCTTGTCCACCGCACAACTGAGCCACGGCAGGGCTGTGCCAAGCCAGCCCCGATGCGGCTCGGAAAGCGCCAGCTTGTTTTTCCGCAGCACAAGCCAAGCCACGTGCAATAGTCACGTATGCATGTTGAACTTCTTTCACACCGTACGCAGCCAACCAGTGCTAATAGGAGGTGCGGAATTGACGCCTCTTCCTGGGTGTGGGTCAACGTTGAATATCACAAAGATGATTAACCCTGCCCCTGGGACCATGCTTGACCCGCAAGCCAGATTCGGATGTGCCTGTGATGCTGAGATGGTGGGTCCAGATTCAGGTTTCAGCTGCCCACGATTAAAACCGGGTTCTCACGTCTCACGGAGTTGCTGGTCTCGGCCAGGAACACACAATTATTATTTTTTAATCATGTTTAAGTTCATCCTTTATACTTAATTTGAATGACATGCAACGCCCTTCGCCAGGCATACAGAAAGCGTCGCCACTTGTTGGCACGTATCGCGAGCGTGAGAGGCGATTCTAAACGGCGAACCGAATCGCCGTTACAAGTCCAAAGAGCACGGGCTCCTGCAGGTGCGGAGAAGAAATGGATATGAACCGGCCCGGCTGTCACAGGACGTGACGCCTGTTCCTGGGTGGGTGTGGGGTGCGGGGGGTTAGTGTTTCGTGAGCAGCTCTTAAGCGGCGTTGTTTATACGGTTGTGTCACACGCACACAAAAAAGCTAAAGATCTCCCGTATGGCCTTAACAGACTGTTGCAGCAAAGTGCTGTTAGCGAACGCCTATGAAGGGCGGTACGGCACACTAGGGGGTGGGTAGCCAACACCACGCCTGGCCGCCTTTGTCTCTCCAGTGGCAATGTTTACACACTGCACCAGGTACTCATTTGAGGCTGAGTCGACCTAGAGGAGGCCCAGAACCGGTTCATATTATCATCACTGGTGTTGGCCGTGAGCGGGAATAGAAACCATTTAGCCAGGTTCGTAGCGCAGCATGCTAACCACTGCCCTACCGCTCTCCATACATGCGTTCTGCGAACCTGGGCACACCCTTTGAGATAACACAACCAACGGCAAACACAGACAATCGACTCACTCGATGATGGTTCGTTAGAGGAAGACAACCAATAAAATGAACTGATTGCTCTTTCTGCAACTCCACCTCCCCCCCCCACAAATATCTTTTCCCCCAGTGTTAGCCCAGGTGTGCTATCGGAGTCATGAGAGAGAATCCATTCGCAATACTCACTGAGCCGTGCGAACCCTTCGTCTGAGAGAACCCGCAGAAGCAGACACCGCAGAACTACTTATGAAATCGTTTTAAGTGACCTCTGTTCCGCACAGTAGAGGGCAGCGCTTTCGCACCCACCCAGAGACTAATATTCAGTCAATTTTATATTTACATTTTCTCAAGAGCCTAAATGTACCCAAATTTAAGTGTTGAACGAAATTGCATTCAATTATTTTTTTTGTGTGCAGTCGTTGGTCACTGGGCTACGACAATCAACTCGCTACGCTTGGGAACCCGGTTTGATCGCGGGCGGCTGCAACCAGGATCTCAGTGGTGCCGGCTCAGCGTCTCTGACCTCCGAGCAAGCGCAGCCAACTCCATAAACAAACCAACAGCTCTCATCGTAAAGATAAGCAAGCGTGGCCGCGTGTGTGTATGCATGGGTGCATGCAGACCCGTGCACTTAAAGTCAAGGTCAAGCATAACATCACCATGCAGTGATGTCAGCAGGTGATGCGCGCACGTGCGTATTGTGCACGTGTTTATACATCGCTGGCAAAACTCGGTTCACACGTTAAACCGCTCTGCATGTACATTCCAGACGTATCGACGTATTAGTAACAATAATGATTCTTTACAGCCACTTGGTCGATCCACTGCTGGATGGAATTCGTACCGTGTCAGTCACAGGAGTTGGCTGTGGCCGGGAACCAAAGTGCATTCGGGATTTATGCCGTTCCTATGGCACAGAGGCTACCAGAGAGCACGTCCAACTTGAGTCTACCGCAGAAAAGGCGGACAGCGACAAATCCTGCAAAGTGACTGGTAATTGTGGGTTGGTGGGTGGGTGGGTGAGTGAGTGGGTGGGTGAGTGGGTGAGTAAATGAGTGGATATGTGGTTGGGTGAATGAGTGAATGAGTGGGTGAGTGAATAAGGAGTTGAGTGGGTGAGTGAATGAGTGGTGGGTGACTATATGGGCTGGACACAGTCTACTGCAGAATTGGCTGACATTGACAAATTTTGCACAGTGACTGACAATGGTGGGTGAGTGGGTGGGTGGGTGAGTGGGTGAATGAGTCGGAGAGTGGGTGAGTTAATAGGTGAGCGAGTGGATGACTAGAAGGAACAGAAACACTGCAAGTGCTGAATCTCGTCTTGGTGTGTGGGAGGATCAGGACACCGCGTGGTTCCAGTTGCCATCAACCGCAGTTCAAGATGACCGGCTTTGGCAGAAACTGGCACCGTGCACACACCATCCACATAGGACGGCGGTGCAGTTTCGTGTAGATCACTTAGAGAAGCCTAATTCGTAACGTAGTGCATTTACCACTGCACAAAGGCAAAGATCCCTCATATAGCCCTTAATAGACTGTTGAGCCAAGAGTTGGGGCAAGTGCTGTTAGGGGGATGGGTAGCAAGCATCACGCCCGGCCGCCTTTATCTCCCCAGTGCTGATGTGTGTATGTTGAACTTCTATCGCACCGTATGTAGCCAATCATGCTAATCAGGCACTCATTTGAGGCCCAGTCGACCTAAGAAAGGCCTGGGACGGGTTCAGATAATCGTCATCGGTGTTTTCCGTGAGCGAGAATTGAACTCGGGTCGTCGCCGGGTTTGTAACAGCTACGCTACTGCTCCCCACGCTGCTGCGCTCGCACACCCACTGCTGCACACACACTGCTGCGAACACTGTTGCACATACACACTGCTGCACACACGCACACACACCGCTGCACACACACACTGCTGCGAACACTTTTGCACATACACACTGCTGCACACACACACACTGCTGCGAACACTGTTGCACATACACACTGCTGCACACACACTGCTGCGAACACTGTTGCACATACACACTGCTGCACACGCACACCCACTGCTGCACCCACACACACACTGCTGCGAACACTGTTGCACATACACACTGCTGCACACGCACACACACTGTTGCACATACACACTGCTGCACACGCACACACACTGCTGCACATACACACTGCTGCACACGCACACACACTGATGCGCACACACACACTGCTGCACACACACACTGTTGCACATGTGCACACACTGCTGCACACACACACTGCTGCACACACACACACTGCTGCACACACACTGCTGCACACACACACACTGCTGCGGTCACACACACGGCTGCGGTCACACACACACACACCGCGGCGCGCGCCCACACCTGTGAAGGCGGAAGAGCTCGTCGGCGTCCCTGAAGCCGTTGTTGAGCAGCATGTTGATGCCCTTGAGGGCGAGGTGAGCGTCCACCGAGTCCTGCACATCCAGCAGTGAATCCGGCGTGCCGGCGGCCGGCCCCCGGTCCGTGGGGCCCCCCGAGGAGGCCCCGTCCCCGTGGGCCCCGGCGTCCGAGCCGTTCACGTGGTGGTGGCTCGGCCGCTCGGCCATCGGCGCTCGCTCTGGGCGTGCGTGGTGTGTGCGCGGTACGGCGTGCGTGCGCGCGTGTGTGTGTCACGGTGTCTTTGCGTCAGTTTGTGTCAGCGTGAGTTTGTGTGCACGTGTTTATTTGCGTGTGCGCCAGTGTGCTTGTGCGTGCGTGTGTATTTCTGTGCGCGTCGATATGTGTGTCAATGTGCGTGTTCGTATGATTGTGTACAAATGTGTGCAACGTCTGCATGTGTGTATTTCTGTACGTCGTGTGAGTTTGTGTGTGTGGCGTGGTGTGTGTGGCAAAGTGTGTTTGTGTATCAGTGCGTGGAGGAGGAGCGGAAGTGTCGTGGTTAGCGCACCGTGGTACGAACCCGACGACCCGAGTTCCATTCCCGTTCACGGCCAATAACAGTAATGATTCATTATCTGAACCAATCCTGGGTCTCCCCTAGGGCGACTCAGCTTCAAATGAGTACCTGGTGCGTAAACATCACCACTCAGGGAGACAAAGGTGGTCAGGCGTGGTTCTGACCATCCAACCCCTCGTGTGCTGTTGCTGTGCCAGCCTTCATAGGTCCTCACTAACGGCACTTGCCCCAAAAAGTCTGTTAAGGCTACACGGGGGATCTTTGTCTTGTCTTGCGAGTGTAACAAACGTGGCTTACCGAATGAATGTCATTGGTTTTTCATGCAGCAGCCATGAAACTGAACGCACCATCCCAGCCAGCACGAGAGAAAACGTCAGATCATCGGAGTACATCCGACACCACGATGTCGTACGAACGTTCGTCCCCCTCATCGAAAGAGGCGGGCACACTTACCACGCAAACCTTAATCACAGTACTCAGTGTTTGACTTTGGGGCCGTCCATGAATGACGTCACGCGATTTTGCACGATTTTTGACCCCCCCCCCCCCTCGTCACACGGCGTCACAAAAAGTCAGACCCCCCCCTCAAATATGACGTCACAAAGCTCTGTACCCCCACCCCCCCAAAAACCATATTTAATGTGGCGCTGGACTCTAATGCTGTAGGCGAAAACATTTATTAAAAAGGAGGCGTTGGAAAGCTGAAATTCTGTATAAAATTCACTTGAAAATATTCATCGTCTAACTAAAACTGCAGATGTTCAGAATATTATATTGAAATTATCTTATAATTATCATATATTAAAAGTAATTATAACTATAAAAAATACTTGAAACTTTGTAGTAGAACGAAGCAAAATGGAGAGTACAATTATAACAATCACATATTCATTCCACAGAATGAAAAGCCTTGGTGGAATCATTCAAATCAAAATGTTGAATAACTAAATGTATGCTTCTCCATTCTCCGATGGAGAAGTAAAATGCTCCTTCATGGAATAAATAAAAGGTGACCTTAGTAAATTTAAATAATCAAATAGTTAATAATGAAAACTAATCAAAATTAGTGTTGTTATAACAATTATATTTAATTAAGTAGAACGTGTTGTTTATATGTTTGATTCAAAGCTTTCGTGACTGCAGGGATTCATATTCTTGGTTCTTTCGGTAAAGTCACGTAGAAGGCAAACAATAAAATAATAAAAATATAATACAATAAAATTCTCACGACGCTAGAAAATTTTCTTGCTGTGGTTTTCACACCTGATGATGATTGCTTGTGTTGCAGTCGAAACGTCGTGATAATTTTATTTTTATTATTTTATTGTTTCCCTTCTACGTGACTATACCGAAAGAACCAAGAATGTGTTGTTTATATTTAAAGTTGTGCATTTTGGTGTGATGTCACATTTCTCAAACCCCCCTCCCACCCCGGTCACACATCGTCACAAATGTCTGACCCCCCCCCCTCCCCCCGGTGCGTGACGTCATTTATGGACGGCCCCTTTACTCCTCTGCCCACAAGTAAAGATCCACTTTGTGAGACTGCACTGACCGATTGCAACCACGTCTTGAGAGTGTCTTAAACGCGCGACGGAAATCGTGGAACTGCTCGCCTTCATGCACCTCCTGAAAAGCGCTCAACAACAGCAACAACAGCAGCAACCAACGTGCGACCAAATGTCCATCACACACACGCAGCTCATTCGAACAAAGCCGGACGCGATGGGACACACACTGAGACGCATCGAGTCGTCTGTCCCTCGCTGCCCCGTAGCCTCGTAGCCCCTCCGCTAATGCGGCAGAGAAAAGTTGCCGTTGCAGCAGAAGTGTACTCTCCACTTGTGCAGCGGCATCTTCCATGCGTGTGTGTGGTGAGCTTCTTTCGCGCCGTACGTAGCCAACCGTGCTAATCGGGGGTGTGTATGTTGAACTCATTTCGCACCGTACTTAGCCAACCGTGCTAATCGGAGGCACGTAAGCATGTTGAACTTCTTTCGCACCGTACATAGACAACCGTGCTAATCGGAGGTATGTATGTTGAACTTTTTTCGCACCGTACGTAGCCAACCCTGCTAATCGGAGGCATGTATGTTCAACTTTAATAGTACCGTACATAGCCAACTGTGCTAATTTGAGGCACGAATGCCTAACTTCTTTTGCACCGTACGTAGCCAAACGTGCTAATCGGAGGAATGTATGTATGTTGAACTTCTTTTGCACCGTACATAGCCAACTGTGCTACTTTGAGGCACGTATATTGAACTTCTTTTGCACCGTACATAGCCAACTGTGCTAATTTGAGGCACGTATGTTGAACGTCTTTCGCACTGTACGTAGCCAACCGTGCACATCGGAGGTGCGGGGGGAAGGACAACAAACAAAAGTAGTTCTAAAGAAATTAGATTTCAATCGAGATGATTTAAAAGTGCATAGGTACCAGTGGCTTTCTAATATCGGAAGGAAGAGCGTTCCAGACGGTCGCAGCAGGGCATCTGAAAGCGCGCGATGCAGTGATCACCATTGCAGGCTTTTGTAATGAGATGCAGTCGCATTGTGGATTGTTTCATAACAACCCAAGCGGGTTATTATGAAACGCACCTGTTCACAAAGACATCAAAATGAGCGACACAAAGCACAGCCGTGGACGGCTGACAGATAAACACAGCAAGCAGATGATGATCGATGAGACCATGCCCATAATTCGACATGGCAATTCGTTATGCTGACGATATTGGACACTATTATAATAATGATAATTTATAATGATGGATTTAAGTTATCGTGATGGGAGCAATGATGCTGCTTTGATTGTTATGATTATGTTGATGTAAAGGTGACGATGATGATGATGGCAGTGATGGTCGCAGCGATGACGACCTTGACATTGACGACGTTGATGGTGATGTTACCAACAGATAATCACGAATGATATTGATAATTGTGACGATGGCAGTAAGTATAAATTTATACTTACGATGATATGAGTATACAACCGATGTTTCAGCTCAGGGGTCGGCAACCGAAATAACAAGACGAGAATTTAGTTTAACAAAAAGTAAACACCTCAATAGACGGTGACGATGTGGACGGTGACGATGTGGACAGTGACGATGTGGACAGTGACGATGTGGATGGTGACGGTGACGTTGACGATGTTGATGTTGACAGTGGTGATGCTAATGTTGACAATGACGACGATGCTGACAATGACGACGATGCTGATGTTGACAATTATGATGATGTTAATAATAATAATGATGTTAACAATGATGATGATGTTGGCATTTACCACAACGATGACGTACTGCACCTCGACCCTTCTGGGCCAGTAAGCATGGCACGTTCGGCCAACGTTGACCCAAAGGGGATCCAACACACATGGCCAACAACGTCGGCGCAACGTGGACATGCTTACTGGGGTGTCACCCCCTTGTGACCTTCAACGTATTGTCCAGGCCCATCGTGGAACCCACGTGCACCAGTAACCCATTGCTCAAGATGTACAACCACTCAAGATGTACAACCACTCAAGATGTACAACCACTCAAGATGTACAACCACTCAAGATGTACAGCCACTCAAGATGTACAACCACTCAAGATGTACAGCCACTCAAGATGTACAACCACAGGACTGCGCCCTCGAAGCGTTCGAACAAAGTTCGTGAGAGAAAACATAAAAACAAGCTGTGGAACCTTAAAACTTGCCCGTTTTTTCATTGACCGATCTTAATTCATCCGTGCAACTGGCACCACCAAAAACGTGAGGTTTGGTGAGGACAAATCGCCGTGTCGTCTCTGCGAGAGCAACACGGCCTCGCGCACCACTGATGGAGACAATGCTGAGAGTGACGACGATGATGATGATGATGTTGACAATGCTGATATTGAGAATGATGATGATGTTGACTGATGATGCTGTTGGCAGTGATGATGCTGATGTTGACAATGATGATGATGTTGACAATGATGATGATGCTGACTGATGATGATGTTAATAATGATGTTGACAATGATGATAATGTTGACGGATGATGATGTTAATAATGATGTTGACAGTGATGATGCTGATGTTGACAATGATGACAATGATGATGATGATGTTAATGATGTTGACAAAGATGATGATGTTGACAATGATGATGTTGACGGATGATGATGTTAATAATGTTGACAGTGATGATGCTGATGTTGACAATGATGATGATGTTGACAATGATGAGGATGTTGACTGATGATCATGCTAATAATGATGTTGACAATGATGATGATGATGTTGACAATGATGATAATGCTGACTGATGATGATGTTAATAATGATGTTGACAATGATGCTGGTGTTTACAATGATGATACTGACAATGATATTGACGGATGATGATGTTAATAATGTTGACAATGATGATGATAATGATGATATTTACAATGATGATACTGACAATGATGATGATGTTGACAATAATGATGATGACGGATGATGATGATGATGTTGACAATGATCATACTGACAATGATGAAGATGTTGACAATGATGAGGATGTTGACTGATGATGATGTTAATAATGATGTTGACAATGATGATGATTGATGATGTTAATAATGATGTTGACAATGATGATGATGTTAATAATGATGTTGACAATGATGATGATGATGTTGACAATGATGATGATGTTGACAATGATGATGATGTTGACGGATGGTGATGTTAATAATGATGTTGACAATGATGATGACAATGATGATGTTGACTGATGATGATGTTGACAATAATTATACTGATGATGATGTTGACAATGATCATACTGACAATGATGATGATGATGTTGACTGATGATGATGTTAATAATGATGTTGACAATGATGATGCTGATGTTGACAATGATG